AGCCCAAAACAAAATGTGTCCAAACAATGCAACATCTGGAGCGCAACACAGGAGTGAGAGGGGAAGAGCAGGAATGTAGCAGAAAAGGGGTTGAGAAAGGGAAAGCGTTCCTAAAGCTGTTTAGCGCCAGGACCCTGGCCAAGGTGTCTGGGGATGTGCCTGAGCTATAATTTACTGGTGGTTTTCTCCAGTAGGAGCTAGCGCAAATCGTGGCACTGGCAACCCGCCGAGGCACTTCCTGTTGCAGGTTGCGGTGCCGCGGCGAATTGCCACGCAACTGTGGCAGTTGCCACGATTTGACATGGCAGTTGCCACGAAGTCGAGACACTTTCCACGACTTCGAGACACTTGCCACGATTTCACGAGGCAGTTGCCACGAAGTCGAGACACTTGCCACGACTTCGAGACACTTGCCACGATTTCACGAGGCAGTTGCCACGAAGTCGAGACACTTGCCACGACTTCGAGACACTTGCCACGATTTCACGAGGCAGTAGGCCACGAAGTCGAGACACTTGCCACGACTTCGAGGCACTTGCCACGGCTTCGAGGCACTTGCCACAATTTCACGAGGCACTTGCCACGATTTCACGAGGCAGTTGCCACGATTTCACGAGGCAGTTGCCACGAAGTCGAGACACTTGCCATGACTTCGAGGCAATTGCCACGGCTTCACGACAGCTACCTCGGCCATTGCCGTTTTTACGACAGCTACCTCGACTTTGCGCCAGTGCCGTTTTATTTCCCAAATATGTGATATGTTTGTTTCATAATTTGCCAATATGTGACAATACAATACTGCCTTTAAAAGTCTTTAAAAGTGTAGGTAGATATTATTTTAGTAATAAAAAGCCAATAAGTGATACAACGGCTTCCCATTTTAGTGCAGCTAAGCGAGTATGGACTAAGATCACTTGTCGCCCTGGTTACAATCTCTACTTCGAAAACTAATCAACGGGTATGTGATTATATGAACAAACAATAACACTGGGTGGGTGCCATCAAGACGTGTCTAGAATTGAATGTCGGTATATAATAGGAGTTACCAGTATTTTCATTTAAATTAATGTTGACTACAATTGTTGACAAAAGAATTTGCCTGAGCTAGATTGTGTGCATGACTGTTTTTAGATATCCAGTGATTGCACAAAAGCTGCTGGATTAAAGTATTAACCTTATTCTATATTGTTTCATGATCAGGCAACAGACAGTACCTTCATGATGGATGTTACGTAAAAGGAAAAATGACATTGTTTAAATTATATTTATTTCCTTTTGACTATATCTGTTGTGCTTGTGAAGAAGCGACCACCCAAACGCAAGGGAACGTAAAGTGTTTTAATGAACACAAACACACAAACAGAAGAATACGAGCGTTTGGCCGGCAACGGTGAAGCCCAGTGAGCAGAGAACGAGGTCCAGGCCGAGGGAGAGCGCACCAGACAGCAGGCAGCTCACGTCAAACAGGAAGCTGGGTAAAGCAGAGGTTAGCAACGGGACAATAATAGTTCAGCACAAACCGTCAGGACACAACAAGGCAGGCGATACAGGACAACGAGCTCAGGTACGTCGGGTGCACAGGTAAGGCTCTGGCGGAGAACAAGGGGAAGAGGGAGGCTAGAAATAGTGTCTAATTAGAGTGAAGGGGGGGGTGCGAGTGTGTGTAAATTACAAGAAAGGGGTGGAAAGGAAAAAGAGGAAGGTACCCGGTTTATGACAATATCATGCTATAAACAGTTTTTTATTGTTTACCAGGGAGACAAACATGTATTTCTTAAAACGTATTTTATTAAAGAATCACTAGATTCATCTATATGGTGTTTTTTCACGTCCATTGTGTTTACTGTGCATGAATGCAATGCATAAATCAAGTTCTGTTCTTTTGTGAATGCGCTGAATGATATCTGCAGATAAGTCCGTAAAAAAATAAGTTTTGTTTTAAGCCTAGTACTCTTGACAAAAATATATAATATTACTAGTGGGTGAAATAAAATAATCTCTGCTTTGTTTTTTAATGCAGAAATAAATATGCTCAAAATCATCTCTGTAATTGTGACTTGGTTTTGTACTGCAACGATTTGAACATTTCTTACCACTGCTTTCTCTGTCACTTCCTGACGTGTCTTCAGCACTGATCAGTGCTGTTTTTTTTTAGCTGTATGCATTTACTTAACTTGCACTACAATGATGGTAATAATTTAATGAGAGAAAAAAATTAGGCCTTTGAATGAACTCTATTATATATTATATTATATCTAATATATAACTATATTACATACCTATACTACTAAAAATATATATACACACACACACACATAAAAAAAGCTTTCAGCACTTCTCAATAGTTTCAACGTTACAATGCATCAATATTTACAATTTGCATTCATTCGGGGCGCTGCCGGAAAGTGGTTATCGTAACCAAGGCAACGAGTGGTCTTAGCCCATATTAGCTTAGCTGAACTTAAACGGAAAGCTATTGCATCACTTATCGGTGTTTTATGACTAAACCAATTACAACCAACAACACTCGTACTCTTAAGGACAGAGTACAGCATAGTACATGATAGTATTGTCACATTTTGTCAAAATATGAAAAGAAAACTGCAACAGTTGAGGCATCATTGCCGCAAAGTCGAGGCAGCTGTCGTGAAGTTGTGGCCGCTGCCACTACTCGCCACGGCAACTCAACCCGCAGATAACAGTCGTACTTAAACTGTATTATACTGTCACATGTTGCATACATATGAATACTAAAATTAACGGAAACTGCCGTGGCACCTCTCCCTTAAACTCCCGGTACGTCTATTAACAGCCGTGGCACAGCTCCCTTAAACTCCCGGTACGTCTATTAACAGCCGTGGCACAGCTCCCTTAAACTCCCGGTACGTCTATTAACAGCCGTGGCACAGCTCCCTTAACAGCCGTGGCACCTCTCCCTTAAACTCCCGGTACCTACATCAGCCGAGGCACAGCTCCCTTAACAGGGAGTTGCCGTAAACTCGAGGCAGCTGCCACGATTCGCCGCGGCACCGCAAACTGCAACAGGAAGTGCCTCAGCGAGTTGCCGGTGCCACAATTTGCGCTAGCCCTCTCTCGATTTCCTTTGCTTCCATTTCCCTGAAAGACCTGATGTCACTGCACAACCCAGAATAGGGCAGAATAAATACATTGTGTCTGTTTTTGTCTTCTTCGATCATTGCACATTAAAAAGTCCCAGCAATAAAGGCTGATATCAAACAACTCTCGTCAATGACTGTAACTCGTATCCCGACATCAACAATTAAGCGTCTACATCCAAGAGCGTTTGCAAAGAAATAGGGAGGGAAACAATCAATTTGTTTTTCCATTTGGCTCATTCCTCTGCCTTTCTGTGCAGATGCAAGAGGAGGCCTTCAGAAAGTCTTCTCCGGCAGCTTGTTCTTGTTGTCACTGTCAGAAGTAATCAGAGCTGCTGCGTCTGCATTCCCACAGCAGAAGGAGCAGAAGGAGCAGAAGAGCAGGCGATTTTCTGCCTGGATAAAGTGTCTGCTAAACACGTGGTGCCCGATCCAACCGCTATTTGTCAGTAGACACACAACATACCGCCTCCAACCTGGCTTGTACTTGGACTCATTGTCGACAATGCACAAAATGTACTCAACAACACACAAACACAAACAGGCAAATGCACACAATAATGCTCATTGACAATGCAGTGAGTGGTGTGTGTACATATACCAGACCAGACCTGATAAAATGGGTCCTGTTTGAAGAGGAGGAGACAGAGAGGCAAGTAAAAGAGAATTGGATGAGAAAAGAGCTGAAGTGGTATTTATTAGATATGTCCAAAGGGACAATGCAGAAAAACTCAGCACACTAGCATTATAACACTTACATGTTATAATTTGATCTGCCTCAGTCTCTCTATCCTCTATCACATGCTGTTTTTGTATTTTCCTCTCTGTCTCTACCTCTTGCCAGCTCTGGAAAGTACATTTGCACAGTTCAACATTGACACAAAGACCGTCTCCTTCATGGCAAACCGTGCTTGTGTTTTTTCAATTAAGCTGAGCTCCTGTACACTATTCATTTGGGAATCCATTCATGGCCCAGCAGAAACTAACGGAAAGTCGCTTAATTTTTTTTTTTCTTCCTTTTTTCAGGAGAGTGCATCGGAAAGACCAATTCCCTAAAACCATGTCCGACTAGTCTGGATGGAGAATGAAACCATAGCAATACTGTCTATGAGAGTACGGCTGGTGTTGATAGGAGGAGAAGGCCTCACCGTCGGGTGTCACGGGGCAAGAACTCAGGAAGGAGGTGAGTGAAATAATACAGATGGATGGATTTCCATGGGAATGTGGATGAAAGTGACTGAGTTCCAGGCATGATCCGATTTGCCCAGCGGGGAGGAGGACAGTTGGATTGAAATGACTTCAAAGCCTTGTGTCACTGGGCTGCAGATGAGTACAGACTGTCTCTTGTCCTTGTTTATTTGCAGAGATGAGGCCCAATAGCTTGCTGCATCCATCTGCCTCATTTAGCAATCAACAGTGGAAATATATATACCTGCCAACTCAAGCAAAGCCGAGACACAGCGGGATCAACTCTTAGTGCAGTTCACATCCCATTTTTGATTTCACATCTTTTCTCTTAGAGAAGGTCTCAGCTCAATTCTGACCTTCTTCCTCGCCAGACTAGTGGAAGCCATTTGGCAACATTAATGTAAACCTTTCATTGAATGCTGACTCAGTGTGTTTCCATACATAAACACTGGGAAACGAAACACACACACGTAGTGTGTGTACATGGCCACACATGCACAGACACACACTTAACTAGCACACACACATGAAGATACAAGTAGGCGGGATCTAAAGTGGACAACCCCCCCCCCACCCACCACAACAATCAACAGAGACAGACAGCAAAGGGGAGCAGAGAGAGAGAGAGAGAGAGAGAGAGAGAGAGAGAGAGAGAGAGGGACGGAGCAGCACACAAGAGTCAGACTGAAGTCCTACCTCAAGAGTAATGCTGTGGATCCGATACAAAGGAAAGCCTCATGACTGCGGCGCTCTCCCTCTGACTCGGCCTCTTTGTATCACCCAGCTGTCGGAGGCTGGCGCTGAGCGGAGGGGCACTCGGCACGCTGTGAAGGCACAGAAAGCAGTGGAGCCTCGCAGACCCCGGGCCCGTCCGCTCACACTCTGCCTTCTGAGGATGAAAAGAGAAGACTTCATTACCAGCTGCAGACCACGCCTCCGCCCCTCGAGTCTCCCCCCACCCCCCTCCTCCCGAGTCCTCTTCCACTCCCCTCCACCTCCACTAACCCCCCCGCCTCCCTTCCACACTCCCAGCCAGTAGCTCCAGGGCCCGTCCCTGCCAAGAGGGAGGGAAGCACGCTGCCAAAGACAACCTCGTGCAGTGCGCCGCCAGGGAGGGACGGAGAGAGAGATGAAAAGGGTGGTGATGAGACAGAGAGATGGCATATAGCAGTGGGTTATAATCTGTTGTTTATTTTACATTTACTACACTCCGTGGTTTTAGCGGCAGTAAAGGAGGACAAAGAGGTTGTGTGACATAATAGAGGTAAAATGAAGAAGGACAGCTGAGGGAGGAGGACAAACTCTGGACGCCCAGACGGAAAGAAAGACACTCAGTGAGTATGAGGTAGAGAGAGAGAGGGAGAGAGAGACTGGTGATCAATTTCACTGTTATTCAGAGAAAAGAAAAACGAGCAGAGACATATTTAAACAGGGGTTGCCGTAAGCTCTAATTAGGACTTAGGAAAGATCACATCAAAAGGCTGCTAAAAAAGGAGTATCTTTGTAGCGGGCGGGGGAAACGTCTGCCTCTGTGTTTGTGTTTCTAACTCTTTGCAAATGGCTAACATCAACACCCAAAATAAGGTTGAGAGTTTTTTCAGACTCTCTTTTCCTTCTCATCCTCTGCCTTTTCTTCTCACTGAACGTTCTGCCCATCAGACAAGGGAGACAGAAAAAATAATAATGATACAACATCTGAAACCGGTTATTTGTTTGCTGTCTTCAACATAATCAAGTGTTGTCATTAGCATAACAATAGTAAATAGATAGAAATAGCATGTGCCCATATAATAAGGAAAAAGAGTTGGATCGGGCTGTTAACTGATTTTACTGAGTCTAAACTGTGATTTAGGGTTGAGGTGGAATTTACTGAGAGGACACAATATTCTATCCAGCCACTAGGGGTTGAGTTGAGCTGTAATGAGACAAAATTTGACACTGACCGTTTTACACAACTGTTGCTATGCACCGAGTTCCTTTGGGAGGGAAATTCCTCCCACATTCATTTAAATGATTCATTAAATCTGGTGCAATGCATATACAGATCTTTACTGAATCTTTCCTTTATTGTAAACTGATTTCACTCCAAAGACCCAAACACATACAGACTGCATGTGCAATGCGCTCTCCATGATGCTGAACTTTCTGAAAGGTTCCAGTCTTGATGACTTGGAATGGAAAGCAGAGAAAATACTGATTGAAAAATAAGGAACTTGTGGTGTCTTTAAAACAGAAAACCTGAGATGCTTTAGAATGCGGGACCTGAGTGGAAAAACTAAATAAATAAAAATCTTTTTAAGGTAACATTTAATCCACTATACAATTATTACTAAATATAAATACCTGAGGCAGAAAAAGGTTTCCGACATTCCCTTTGGAAAGTGAATGTCGGCTTGTCTTTTCTTCTGAAAAATACTCGACGGCATCTAGGAAGCCATTCTAGACAAGAAGAAAACATGAATGAAGGTAGCCATGCCAAGATGACAGTGGAATGAGGTGTTGTAGCCTGACTGTGTGCCACACTGTGCACCAAAGCAGTGGGTGAACTCTGACTCACAGCCGTTGTGCTGTGTGCTAAACACGAACAAGACTTGTGTCTTTGATGTAAAATGAATTATTAAACTACTGGGCCTACAATGTGATCTTCATCAACGTTTACTACAGTTCCTCACGCATGTGGCTTTATGACATACAGGCCTCTTAAAAACAGTAATCACACAGGTTTACTTCCGAAATGAAAAATGTAATTTGTATTACACAATGTTATTTGTTTTGTTGTCCATTGTCTCATTGTCTTACTGTCCAATGTTATGTAAATTCAAATTCCTTTTATGTCTAACATATTTTCGCAATAAACGTTCCTAATTCCTGGTGCCTGATTCCTGAAAATAATAGTTGTAGCCTAATTTTGCTGCACTTGCAGTGAGGATGTTCAGCGGGGTCAACCCAGGTCATGTTGCTGGCACCATGGAGCCCAAATGAAATAGCTCTCCATCAACAACCACGCCAACACTCCTGTGACTCTTAATTAGGTAAAGTGAGGGTGACTACATGTGCGCTGTATTCCATGAGTCACTGACTACATAGCTGAAACGTCCAATAAAAACCATAACATTAAGACTTTGCTGCAGGAGTTTCATAAACTAGCTCTATGAGCGTGTTGTTTGTTTGTGCACTGAGGTAAGAAAGGGCCCATGTAAAAAGACTCTGGGTGTTATCTCAGACACAAGCGATGATGGTTTCCTAAAAAGTGGAACGTGTCCGTTCCCTCCCCTCTGTCAGCGCGGCATTTGGGCTCTGGAGGAGTTGGGCCGAGAAGGCCAGCCTTGGCTGCTGGAATCTCACACCTCCGCCGGGCCTTCACCGGCGGAGCACAGCCATCGCCCATTTCTGACCGACGCATGTTCTCCCCCGGGGCAAACACGGGGCACCCCTGCCAGTGTAGACTTTGCAGGTTGGCGATGTGTACTCGCCCATTCATACAGATTAGCTGTACGCCAGTGAGCTAAAATGGGGATTGTGGCATTTTAACAGACATAAGAATATTCTGCCCTTTTAATATAATCAAGTTACCGTGACTAAACCCCAAAGAAATAACAATGATGGCAGCGTGCACAACATCCTGTACACTTCTTTCATGCTCAACACTGTAACGCGCAGGCTATGCCATTACTTAAAAGACAGAATTTGATACCAAATTTAGTTCTGTGATGGGCGGCAAACTCCTGCCTCGTGTGTTATGGTTACACCCGTCTACCACCTACACACCTGTGTACTGCGTGAGGTGGCGGCTCCGCGGCGGTCGGTGGTTACCACTGTCCCCTCACAGCATGAGGAGCCAGGTTTTGTTTCCCATCCGTGTTCCTCCACCATCACTGGCTGTTTTCTCAAGGTTTTCCTGCTTCCACAGTCTAAACACATGCAGGTTAGCTGCTATCTAGTTTTACAATGTCAGAATGGACGCGTCAGCTCTGTGATAGTCGGGCAACCTGCTCAGGGTGTGTCCTGCCGTCGCCCGTTGGGGCTGGGATCCAAACACATCATCATGGGCATTTTTACATCTCCATACAATTATCTTCCCGAAAGAACAATAAATACCTTGGTTGAACCTGATCAACCATTATATATTTAAGAATAAGAGCTTCCTTTTACGCGTGTTTGAGTTTCACCCTAGCTCAGTTTAAAAAAATGTTTTTTCGCTAATCATGTTAACACAGTGAAAACAACTTTCTCATAACCGTATGACGCATTGCTGGACTAGTGTCTCAGGCTAAGTTTAGCTAATTGAAGGGTTACTGACTCAAAATGGAATTTATTTCGCTGCACAGCTATAAGGCGATGAGGTGAACTACTAAGACACACTTAAATGCTTCCACTTTGGATTTCCCCTAGTGGTGCATTTATATTGTCATCATCTGAAGTATTGATAGAGCTGCCATTGAACTGAAGCAGAACCAGAGCAAACCAAACACAGAGATGCTCGGCCCTCATCGGTACAAATGGGCCTTTGAATCCTTCCCCCCACTTTTGTCCCATCAATACTTCACTCTTCATGACCAAAGCCACCAACTCCAACCTTCTCCAAACGCACGGACGTGAATGGTGTCTACTGTAACTTCCACCCCCCCCCCCCCCCCCCCTCTCTGTGGGGTAGAAAATATTTTGACAGGCCTTTTTATTTTTGCCGCCTGGATTTGTGGTGGAATGAAAGGGACTAAAATCTTCATTTATATTGAGCGCTGGTCAGCTGTGTGGATCTGTGTGTGGCCTAAGCAGAGGGAACGTGGTTTGTGTGAGTGAATATGAGGGAGAGAAGGATTAGGATAAGTCCTCAGTATGTTTGCTATTCTGTAGTTATAGTCCGTATGGTTTAAAACCCCAAATGTTTCCGTCGTCAGAAAGAATTAATGTTTGATAGAAAAGTGGATTTTACAAATACTCCAATAAAAATGAAAAATAACTAATCTTTTAAGAAGACTCACATCATCTTTATCATTAATGATATTCATTTAGCGCAAATCCAATGTAGGAGATGCAGGTCAGAATACAACAAATTGCAATTTAATTTCTATCAAGCAGACTATGAGACTAAATATCTACTAATATCTGACTAAATCTGTCGTGGCCAAATCTAGCGGCTACCTTCTATTCTAAAAATATATCTAATCATCTATTTATTGCACACTATAGCTTGTGAAAAAAAAACTATAAACCTTTATAGCTTTAGATGAACTTCATATGGATTTCTTTCACAGATGTAGAGCTCAATATTTTACATTTGGAATCAAAGGTCGTACACAGCATGCATGGACATGTTGAGTAATTGCAGTGACCCATAACTGTTTCGAATTCCTTCATGTGTTCAATGAACATACATGCATGTGAATGCTGTTTTAAGACAGAGTTTGAAAAAGATTAACGCTTTTTTTAATAATAATTACTATGAAGTGTTGTTGGGCTCCCGCCATAGCATAAAACCAAGGCTGACTTTTGAATGCATTGCGGCTACAGGACATAAATACCCGCAAGGAATTTGAGGTGTGGTTTCTCTCTCTTGGTAAAAGAGGTAAAACAGATAAGCGACTCCCCCCTCTAAAAAACTTTCTTTTATGAACTGACCATAGTCAATATAAGGCTGAGCACCTCCTCAAATCAACTTTTCAAATCGACACACGCAGATGATAGGATTATGCATTCAGGCTCTCCAGCCTTCAGCGGTTAGGCCTCTCCAACCCAACACTTTCCCAACAAGACCTCGTCTGTGAAATCCTTATTATAGCTGCTCCAGAGTGGTCCTCACGTCAGGGCAGCTCAACAAGAAAGAAACCTTCCTCTACCCCCCTCCCTCGTTAGAGAGTACGAACTGCTTTTGCGTCACGTCAAGAAACCCAACAGTTCACAAGATCCCCA